AGATTTCAGTTGTACATTATTTCTTGACTGTCACCACATAAGTGCTCTCCTTCACCCCCGGTGTTCCCCCCACCCCCCTTCCCCTGGTAACCACTGAACTGTTTTCTTTGTCCAGTACTTGTTTCTATTCCACATATGACTGAAATCATCTGGTGTTTGTCTTTCTCAGACTGGCTTATTTCGCTTAGCATAATTCCCTCTAGGTCCTTCCATGTTATTGCAAATGGGATGAATTTGTCTTTTTTTCTGGCTGAGTAGTATTCCATTGTATATATATACCACATCTTTGTCCAGTTATCAGTCGATGGGCGCCTAGGTTGTTTCCAGGTCTTGGCTATTGTGAATAGTGCTGCAATGAACATAGGGGTGCATATGTTACTTTGGATTGTTGATTTCAAATTGTTTGGGTAGATACCCAGTAGTGGGATAGCTGGGTCATATGGTAGGTCTATTTTTAGTTTTTTGAGGAATCTCCATACTGTTTTCCAGTTTGCATTCCCACCAGCAGTGTGTGAGGGTTCCCTTCTCTCCACACCCTCTCCAACATTTGTTATTTTTAGTCTTAGTGATTATAGTCATTTTAACGGGCATAAGATGGTATCTTAGTGTAGCTTTGATTTGCATTTTCCTGATGATTGGTGATATTGAACATGTTTTCATGTGTTTATTGGCCATCTGTATATCTTCTTTGGAAAAATGTCTGTTCGTCTCCTCTGCCTGCTTTTTGATCTGGTGGTTTGCTTTTTTATTGTTCATTTGTGTGAATTCCTTATGTATTATGGACATTAACCCCTTGTCAGATATATGATTTGCAATTATTTTCTCCCAATTGGTGGATTGTCTGTTTGTTTTGACCCTAGTTTCTTTTGCGTTGCAGAAGCTCTTTAGTCTGATGAATTCCCACTTGTTTATTTTTTCTTTTGTTTCCCTTGTCTGAGAGGACATGGTATTTGAAAATATCCTTTTTAGTTTGATGTCAAAGAGTGTACTACCAATATTATCTTCCAGGAATTTTATAGTTTCAGGACGTATCTTCAAGTCTTTGATCCATTTTGAGTTTATTTTTCTGTATGGTGTGGGATAGTGGTCTACCTTCATTCTTTTGCATGTAGCTGTCCAATTTTCCCAACATTTATTGAAGAGACTGTCTTTTCTCCGTTGTATGTTCTTGGCATGTTTGTCGAAGATTAGCTGACCGTAGATGTGTGGTTTTATTTCTGGGCTTTCAGTTCTGTTCCATTGATCTGTGTGCTTGTTTTTGTACCAGTACCATGCCGTTTTGGTCACTATGGCTTTGTAGTACATTTTGAAGTCAGGGATTGTGATACCTCCATCTGTGTTCTTTTTTATCAGGATTGCCTTAGCAATTCAGGGTCTTTGATTGCCCCATATGAATTTTATTCTTTGTTTCATTTCTTTGAAGAATGTCATTGGGATTCTGATAGGGATTGCATTGAATCTGTAGATTGCTTTGGGTAGTGTGGACATTTTAACTATGTTTATCCTTCCAATCCATGAGCAAGGAATCTCTTTCCATCTCTTTAAGTCATTATCTGTTTCTCTCAGTAATGTCTTATAGTTTTCTTTGTATAAGTCCTTCACCTCCTTGGTTAAATTTATTCCTAGGTACTAGGTACAAATGGAATTATATTTTTGAGTTCTCTTTCTCTAAGTTCATTATTGGAGTATAGAAAAGCAACTGATTTTTGTAAGTTGACTCTGTACCCTGCAACTTTACTGTAGTTGTTAATTATTTCTATTAGTTTTCCAATGGATTTTTTTGGATTTTCTATATATAAGATCATATTGTCTGCAAACAGCGAGAGTTTCACTTCTTCACTCCCTATTTGGATTCCTTTTATTCCTTTCTCTTGCCTAATTGCTCTGGCCAAAACCTCCAGTAGTATGTTGAATAAGAGTGGTGATAGTGGGCATCCTTATCTCATTCCTGTTCTCAGAGGGATGGTGCCCAGTTTTTCCCCATTGAGTATGATGTTGGCTGTGGGTTTGTCATATATGGCCTTTATTATGTTGAGGTAATTTCCTTCTATCCCCATTTTGTTCAGAGTTTTTGTCATAAATGGCTGTTGGATCTTGTGAAATGCTTTCTCTGCATCTATTGAGATGATCATGTGTTTTTTTCCCGTGAATTTGTTGATGTGGTGTATCACGTTGATTGATTTGTGGATATTGAACCATCCCTGTGTCCCTGGTATGAATCCACTTGATCTTGATGTATGATCCTTTTGACGTATTGCTGAATTCGGGTTGCCAAAATTTTGTTGAGAATTTTTGCCTCTATGTTCATCAGTGATATTGGCCTATAGTTCTCCTTTTTTGTGCTGTCCTTGTCAGGCTTTGGTATCAGAGTAATGTTGACCTCGTAGAATGTGTTAGGAAGTGTTCCATCCTCCATAATTTTTTGGAATAGCTTGAGAAGGATAGGTATTAAATCCTCTCTGAAAGTTTGGTAGAATTCCCCAGGAAAGCTGTCTGGTCCTGGGGTTTTATTCTTTGGGATGTTTTTGATTGCTGTTTCAATTTCTTTCCTTGTGATTGGTCTGTTTAGATTGTCTGTTTCTTCTTGACTCAGCTTTGGGAGGTTGTAAAAGTCTAAGAAGTTATCCGTTTCCTCTAGATTATCCATTTTGTTGGCATGTAGTTTTTCGTAGTATTCTCTTATAATCCATTGTATTTCTGTGGAGTCTGTTGTTATTTCTCCTCTTTCATTTCTTTTTTTTTTTTTTTTTTTATTAATGTTATGATAGATTACAACCTTGTGAGATTTCAGTCTCCTCTTTCATTTCTGATTTTGTTTATTTGAGCTTTCTCTCTTTTTTTCTTTGTGAGTCTGGCTAGGGGTTTGTCAATTTTATTTGTCTTCTCAGAGAACCAGCTTTTTGTTTCATTGATCCTTTCTACTGCCTTTTTTGTTTCAATAGCATTTATTTCTGCTCTGATTTTTATTATTTCTCTCCTTCTGCTGACTTTGGGCTTTGTTTGTTCTTCTTTTTCTAATGCAGTTAGGTGTAATTTGAGATTGCTTATTTAGGATTTTTCTTGTTTGTTAAGGTGTTGCCTGTATTGTGATGAATTTCCCTCTTAATACAGCTTTTGCTGTATCTCATATGAGTTGGTATGGCATGTTATCATTTTCATTTGTCTCCAGATATTTTTTGATTTCTTGTTTAATTTCTTCAGTGATCCATTGCATGTTCAATAGCGTGTTGTTTAGTCTCCACATCTTTGTCCCTTTCTCAACTTTTTTCTTGTAATTAATTTCTAGCTTTATAGCATTATGATCAGAGAAGATGCTTGTTATTTCAATATTTTAAAATTTATAGAGGCTTGCCTTGTTTCCCAACATATGATCTATCCTTGAGAATGTTCCGTGTGCACTTGAGAAGAATGTGTATTCTGCTGTTTTTGGATGGAGTGTTCTATATATGTCTATTAAGTCCAACTGTTTTAGCTTTTCGTTTAATTCCACTGTTTCCTTGTTGGTTTTCTGTCTGGATGATCTGTCCAATGATGTGAGTGGGATGTTGAGGTCCCATACTATTATTGTGTTATTTTTAATGTCTTCTTTTAGGTTTGTTAATAGTTACTTTATGAACTTTGGTGCTCCTGTGTTGGGTGCATAGATAATTATAAGCATTATTTCTTCTTGATAGAGTGTCCCTTTGATCATTATATATTGACCCTCTTTGTCTCTCTTTACCTGCCTTATCTTGAAGTCTACTTTGTCTGATATAAGTATTGCGACACCTGCTTTCTTTTGTTTGCCGTTAGCTTGGAGTATCATCTTCCACCCCTTCACTCTGAGCCTGTGTTTGTCATTGGAGCTGAGATGTGTTTCCTGGAGACAACAAATTGTTGGATCTTGTTCTTTAATCCATCTTGCCACTCTGTGTCTTTTTATTGGAGAGTTCAATCTGTTTACGTTAAGGGTGATTATTGATGTATGAGGGCTTAATGTTGTCATCATATCACTCGTTTTCCAGTTTTCCTGCGTTTCCTTTGTTTCTTGTCCTGTGTGTTTTGGTCTACGCATTGAATTATGCAGTTTTTTATGCTGTGTTTCTTTGTTTTTTTTGTACTTAGGAGACTTTTGCTGTAATTTAGGCAAGAGGTAATGAAGAGGGCATGAAGTAAAGAGGTTGTGTGTAAGAAGTATTTTGGGATAAAGTTGGTGGGTATTTGAACCTGATTAGATTAGGATATTTATTTATTCAATAAATATTTACCTATAATCCTCCCTCCTCCCACACCAGGGTGAGCTTGATGTTTCCTGGCCATATGAGATTGAGAAGCTGGCGATATTAAATATAGCCTTAGGTTTCAGCTGTGCAAGTCTCGGAAGGTGGTGATGCAGAAATCTGAGAACTCCCACCCCGGTTACGCAGGCCTTGAGGGGAGTGTAAATTTATCTGGTTTCCTGCTTTCAGATAAACCGTCTCAGACAGATGAGAATCTCATCTCCCGTTATAAACCACCACCAGAGAAAGGGATTAGAAGTGAGCTCTTAGGGGCCTTCATTTTTTAGAGAATGTTTATGGTAGAGCAGACAGCTTTTAAAACCATCTATCTAGTCATCTTTAAAATAGTCATAATCAGTGTGAGCTTAACCATGAGGCCCCAACCAGTTGCCTTCTCCACCACTGTGTCTTCAAGGCTGGCATTCTGACTTCATATTTCATTTTTCCCGTTTTAAGGGAAAAATTAAAGAAGCTTTAAAAATGGTAGGTTCATAAACAGTTATTTAGAGACAAGATAAATAATTAAGTAATTTATTTTGTGATGTTTTTTGTACGCATTTCTATGGTTTTACTTGTTTTAGATAAGAGTAAATGTGACCGTTTTCTAGAACAGGGAACCCAGTTCATTTTTGGATGTGAACTTCTATTTATTTATTTATTTTATTGCAGTAACATTGGTTTATAACATTATTTAAATTTCAGGTGTACATCAATGTATTTTGATTTCTGTGTAGATTACATAAAAATATGGAATGCTTCACGAATTTATGTGTCATCCTTGTGCAGGGGCCATGCTAATCTCTGTGTTGTCCCGATTTCAGTATATGCGCTGCCGAAGCAAGCACTAGATGTGAACTTCTTTAACATTTCCAAATACAAGCTAAGTCACTGCATGGATTGATAAATTATAGATGGAAACGTGTTCTCAGTTTTCCTCCTCTTGGATTTCTTTGCTTCATACGACTATAGGTCTTTCCTCTCTGAAACTCTATCTTCTTTTGATATCAAATACTGTCATTATTATCTGTTATTAATAAATATGGTAATAATGATAACTAATAATGACAACTAATAATGATAACTATTTTTTATGTCTTCCTCCATCTTTTACTGTTTTCCTATTCAGCTTCCTACTGTAGCCATTCTCTGGAAGAATAAGTACCTGATGTTTTCCCTCTTCCACCTTCCAGAGAGTTTAGCTGCTACTTCTATTTCACCGACTCATCCACATGTCTTTATTTCCAGCCTTGCCCATTGACATTTGTGAGAGTCAGGAGAAAGCTAGTTGTTAAAGGGAGATGATGAGAGAAAAGGGAGGAGGATAAATGAGAATTTACCCCAATAGAAGAAGATCTGTAGGTCTTGGTGAAAGGCTTCAGGATAGAGAAGCACAGTAGGAAGTGGAGACTTGAAAATGCTGAAGCTCCATTTGCTGTAAGGTAGTGCTACTCAACGTGAAATCCACAGTCAGGGTTTGTCCATGGTCTGTTTATAACTGACCTGTGATGAGAGACATGTAGAAATTGAGAGTAAGTGTTTAGAAACCTTTAACAGTTTGACAGGGCAGCTGTAAGTCTGTTGAATCTAATAAAAATTTGGGACTTATGTTTTGTATGTCTTTGTTTTTAATTTTATTTATTAGTTATTATTATACTATTATTTTGTATTTTATAAAAGTATTGGTCTCCAGTGGACTAGGGGAGGAAGAGGACTTTCACCACAAGTAGTTTGGGAAGCGCTGTTGCAGGTTTGTGGAGACGATAATTGGGGATGTTTTATTCAAAGTGGTTGGTTTGGGCAGCAGGAATGAGGAGCGCGCAGACTGGGAGCAGGTGGGTGCGTATCTTATGTTAGCACCTGAGGAAAGGGCAGCCGTAGTGAGATGGAGTCTTGTGACTTGAGGGAGTTGCAGGGTGGGGGACAGTGTTTAGACATGTGGCACCCACACACCAGTGAGGCCCAGGCCCAGCGTTTGGTAGGAATGAGTATATTGCCTTGCTGGTGGGGCCTTGTAGGTGGGGAGGGGTTCCCCGCAGTCCGAGCAGGGGCTCTTGAACTGTCACCAGTACTGCCATTTTTGGCTCACTAGATGTGAATAGGGTATCACATCTGTGTGTGCCCTAAGCTTGCTCTTCATCCTTTGTTTGACCTTGTTCTTTCCTACTTTGACTCTGCCTGGACATTTTGCGCAAACCTTAATGTTGATTCTTCTCTTTTGTTTCCTGAACATTTCTCTAAAACTCTTCTAACATGAAGAATGATTCCTTCTATTGATAGTATTCCTGGATCCCTTGTATTCCAAGCCATATACCTTTCCCTAGGCCTTTTCCTAGTTCTGTAACTTGTCTGACAGTGGCTGGGTTTTCTTTTTGTGAAAGGTGGTGTCATGATGGATGCCTGGCAAATATTAACACCAGTGGAGCAGATTTTGGGATCCTGGGCTGGCAGCTTCATAATTCTTTCTATCTTTTCCACCAAAGCCACAGGATATTAAACCACTGAACTGGCACAGTCCTTGGCTGCCTGCCAGTGGAATATTTGGGGAAATAATGGACTAGCTTTTGTTTCTCTTGCCTTCTGTGTAGCCTTGGGGTGGATTCTGAGGGGATGTTTTCCCTCGCAGGACTAACCCATTTGGTATTGAGAAAGCAGGAAAGCGAGTTTTCCTGTTACGAGCAGTGACAAAAAGCAAGCAGCGGATGGAGATATCCTGTTGGAGAAGGCTTGGGGAGTCAACGCGGACACATGCGCCTCATTCTTTCCGTGTCTCTAAGGAATATGAGGAGATGGGAAGGAAATCAGTCACTCTGCAGGCCAAGTCAAATGGTTTTCCTTTTATTTATAGTGCCTAATAAGAAGGTTATAAGTGTATGCTTTGTGATTGAAAAACTTGTCAGACACAGAGATGTATAGCACATTACAAATTAGGAAAAGAAACAGTTTTTTGTTTCCCATGAGGTCATTTGAAGTTTGCCTGGGAAGGGGCAACGAACTGTAAAACTAAATGCAAACTCTATCCAAGTTTTATTTATTTTTAAGTTTAAAAATCACTTAAAAATGGCAAATTCTTGCTGAATTAAATTTATAAGAAGATGGCTTGTCATATCCTCTTACAGGTCCGTTTCTTGGTACTTTTAAAAAAAGAACTAACTTTTTCCTCTCTTATTATAAGAACAATGCATATTTATTGTAGGAAAATTAGAAAACACATACAGGCAACTGAACAGTACAGGAATGGGCTAGAAAGACATGGAAATGGAAAATTACAGCAGTGTGGTGAAGAAGGGAAAACCGGGGTCTTCTGGGAGCAGTGGGGGTGGGGACAGGGTCAGGGAAGAGCTCCCTGGGACCTCTAGGGAGGCTGTCTTCCTGCTTGCCACACCTTTAGTTGTGACTTTATACCCTTTGAGGCTGGCGTCCCCACTCTGCCACGGGTCTAGACCTGACCATTCCAAGTTTATTTGGAACTGGAAAACTGTGTAATGACAAGTTGAAAGGCCAGTTAACTCACTGCATTTCCCATGTTGTCAGGGAGAAGGAGTGCTAGGCAAGGAGAGTCTGAAGAAAGACAGATTTATATCAATGAGTGAGTGAGTGTTGTGTGTATATGAGAGAATCTTTGAGAACGTTGTCTGTAAGGGAGATAAAGAAAATAGAAGATGCAGAAGAGTAAAATAATTTTTGGGGGCGGGTAGGAAATGTATAATGGCTTCTGCCATCCTTCATTGTCTTCTTGACCTTCCCATTCCCTTCACGTCTTGTCATATTGACAAATACTTAGGTGTTCTGTGGAATGAGGAAGCTTCATTCCACTGTTTATCTCAGTAAACATTTATAGAGCAGCTGTTAGCAGGTCATACTTTCAGTCAATTCCAGTTTATAAAGGTAGTGAGAGAAATAGTTATAAGGCATGGGATTAAATTGTCGTGGGATTTTTTATCTATGAGAACATTTACCATCAAATCCACTAGCCGTTTCATTATAGGTAATGAAGGATTGACATGTAAAATGGAAAGTGTAGAGGCTTGGACTGGATAATCGGTTGATTTTGGTAACTTGTTTAACAAATACTCATCAAGTACTGTTACATACCAGCCACAGGGCCAGAACCTGGGATAGAACTGTGAATTGGACAAATACAGTGCTTGACCTCACAGACCTTGCAGTCTCATCAGGAACATAAATAGGTAATCAGAGTTCCAACATGGTGGGATAGGAGCTTCAAAAAAGAGACATGTGGGGTTTCCTGTGATAACGTGGGAGAGGTACCTGTTCTAGACCAGAGAGAGTAACATAGGCTGAGACCTGAAGGAAAAGAAGAAAGGAGCCAGATAAAGGGAGGTATTCTATTGTAGCCATAGGGAACAACATGTGCAAAGGCCTAGAGGAAAGCAAAAGCCTAGAATTATCCAGGAACTAAAAGCTGGTCAATATCATGAGAGCCTGTAGTCCCAGATGGAAGTGATGAGACATAGCTCTTAAGAGGTAAGCTGGGGCCCAACATGAAGGACCTTCTAGGGCATGTTAAGAAGTGTGATCTTAGGAGTTCAGCAAAGATGCAGGACATAAGAAGATGCAGGACATAAGATTAATATAAAAAATCAGTTATAGGCCTAGTGGTTAAGGTTGGTGTGCTCTGCATCAGCAGGTTGGTTTCAGTTCCCGGGCATGGATCTACACCATTTGTCAGCAGCCATACTGTGGTGGCGATCCACATACAAATACAGGAAGGTTAGCACAGATGTTAGCTCAGGCTGAATCTTCCTCAAGCAAAAAGAGGAAGATTGGCAACAGATGGTAGCTCAGGATGAATCTTCCTTAGCAAAAATAAATAAATAAATAAAACACAAAATAGTAATTTAAAAAATCACTTGTATTTCTCTACACTAATAATGAGCAAACCGAAAATGAAATTAAGAAAACAATTCTATTTACAAAAGCATCAAAAAGAATAAAATACTTAGGACTAAATTTAACAAACAAAGTACAAGATTTGTCTACCAAAACATTATTAAAAGAAATTAAAGAATACTAAATAAATGGAAAGACATCCAATGTTCATGGATTGGAAAACTTAATATTCCTGAAATGGCAGTGGTCCTCAAATCTACCTACAGATTAAATACAATTTCTATCAAAATCTTAGCTGCCTTTTTCCACATATTGATGAGCTGATCCTAAAATTAATATGGAAATGCAAGGAATCCAGAACAGTGAAAACAATCTTCAAAAAAGAACAAAGTTGGAGGATTTATATTTCCTGATTTCAAAACTTACTACAGAGCTACAGTAATCAAAATAGTGTGATATTGGCATAAAGATAGACACATGTATCAATGGACTAGAATTCAGAGTCCAGAAATAAGTCCATTTTCGACAAGAATGCCAAGACCATTCAGTGGAGATAGAATAGTCTTTTCAATAAATAGTGCTGGGACAACCAGGAATCCATATGCAAAAGACTAAAGTTAGATCCTTATGTCACTCCATATGTAAAAACTAACTCAAAATTGATGATCATAGACCTAAATGTAAGACCTAAAGCTATAAAACTCTTTGAAAAAGAGTATAGATGTAAATCTTTATGACTTTGGGTTAGGCAATGGTTTCTTAGATGTGACACCAAAAGCACAAGCAACACAAGAAAAAATGGATAAGTTGGATGTTATCAAAATGAAGACTTTTGTGTTTCAAAGGACACTATAAAGAAAGCGTGCAGATAACCCACAGAATGAGAGAAAAGATTTGCAATCATATATCTGATAAGAGACTTGCATCCAGAATATATAAAGAACTCTTACAACTCATTAATAAAAAGACAACTCAGTTAAAAAATGAGCAAAGA